GTCACATTATCAGTGGTACTGTTGGGCTCTGTGCTCGTGTTGTTTAGTGTGTTTGAATCATCAGTAGATAGACCAGATTGAGTTATTTCAGCGGGTTGCTGTTGTGATTCTGTAGTAGAATGTGGTTTTGAGTCAGCAGTAAAATGGGAGTCAGTACTTGTTGTACCTGTGACATTTGTTTCTGTATTGTGATTATCTTGTTGGGGACCTTGTGTGGTTTCCTTTATCTGTTCTTGTTGTCCCTCAGTTCTCCTCTCACCTGACTTACTGGATACTGGCTGCTTCTGAGTATTCTCTGTTTGCTCTGTCAACTCACTAGGCTGGTTGATACTTACATCTTGTACAGTACGAGAATGAGATACGACAGTTTCTTCTTGATTTTCATTCCCACGACCTTGACCTTTTGATCTGTCACCCGACTCTTCTTTCAACTCCTTTTGCTTATTTTCTTCCAACTCCTTCTCACCCTGCGCAACACCACTATCAAGTTTAGTATTATCCGGGGATTCGTCAGGATGTTTCCCAAGCTTATTAGCTTGAGGAGGCACATCATGTTGGCCATCACCATGACCACCCTGTGCCTTTATACCACCTTGACGACTAGATTGAAGATCATCACGTGTAGTTGAAAGAGATGTACCAGAAGAACCCGCAGCACCAAATTGTGCCGGTGCAAGAGGTTTAGCAGTAGTAGGAAGAGGAGGTTTAATGGGAGATGTAGGTGAAGGTACAGTATGGTGAGAACCAGGAATACCAGCAGAACAAGTATTCGTACCTGCAGCACTGCCAGGGATAGCACCAGGCACACCAGGAGTACCACAAGGACCGTGTGGAACTGCAGGGTCCGTATAAGGCCTTTGTTGAACACCCTTAGGAACACCAACAGGAGGATTAACAGGAGGTCTGCCAGGAACAGCAGGTCCAGGAATACCATCAGGTTGGAGCTCTACATTATTAGGATGAACACCACCAACGGGCAGACCAGCATGATGAAACCCAGCAGGCATACCAGCAACACCACCACCAGTCATAAAAGAATACAGGTTTGGTACATTAGCCATCACGCATCCACATACGCAGTACAGGATGAAAGGCAGTAAGCACAACACGTGGCCCATCATCTTCTTCATAGCCATAATAGTGGTTGTTGGGGTTTGCTTAAAAATACTCAACTACAAAGAAAAAACAATATGAGAGATTAACAATTATGCTCGTAATACCAAAAAACAGAAGGGTGTACGAGTAGTGAATTACAAATAACCTCAGCAGTGTAGAAAAAAATATATAACAAACAAAGCAATACAGAGAATAAAATCAGTAAAGGTAGAAAAAACAGGACATCCATATCATCACAGACTCCCGCAGTAAAGCAAAGAATGCCCCAGCAGAACAAAAGCAAAAAAAAAAAGATATTAACCATTAGCCCAATTTACCCAGTAAACACAGAAATACACCAACTATGGGTGTAAGTCTATATGTGTGTATGTATACGCAATTATAAATATAAATTCATCTGTTATTATTATTTCCTTTTCCCACTGCAAAAAGCAGTTCATCATCATCATCATCATTATCACAGTGCAAAGCCCAGGCAAACACAGAGAGAGTCTCCAAGAACACACACACACACACACACAATGGAGTAGCAATAATAATTATTATAGGATAAACACATAGATAGTAAAAACACATAAAACACAATATCATTAAAAGAAACAAAAAAGAAGAAGTAAATCCCAATAGGTGGAAAGATTAGTTAGACTGTAGTGTGGATGTATGCAAAAAAGAAGAAAAGAAAACATAGGATGACCTGAGTCACACCACCATCACCACTACAATCAGCACACAAGAATACAGGCCAGTGTAACCACAATCAGTAGTGGCACACGCACCCACACAGAACTGCTGATACTGCTGCTGCTGTCTGCATCACCCTTCTTGTTGTTTGTGAGTTCAGGAGGAAGTGTTGTTGTTGTGGTGGTGGTTGTATCTGTATTTACCACATTTCCTCCTTGGGTACTTGTTGACCCACTCACTGCAGATGAAGTGCCATTCCCAACTATTGTGGCTTCAGAACTACCGGAACACACTGTCTCTGAACTGCTGGTGGTAGAAGAAGAAGGCCGTGTTCCCGCACTTCCCTGGTTATCTGCTGCAGTGGATGCATGGTTGTCGCTGTTTCCAGGTTGAGGGTCACCAGCAGGAACAGAAGCAGCAGGTGGAGGAGATGCAGTAGAATGATTAGAAGAAGAAGAGGTATCATCAGTACCAGAACCAGAACCAATTCCAGGAGCAGCTTCACCTAATGTAACTTGAGCACCAGTCGCATCAGCAGCAAGATGACTATCTTTATTAGAAGGAGCATCAACAAGAGCACCATGTCCAGGCTTTTCAGGAATAGATACTCTTAAGTTAGTTGCAGTGAGTTCCTCTCTTGTAGGTGAACAAGCAGGATCAGGAGAAGTCGGAGTGCAAGTGGCACCAGGCGCAGGTTGCTGATGAGGAAGGGTAGGAGGTAAAGGAAGTTGTTGGGGTTGAACACCAGGAGCGATGCCAGCACCACGAACCCCATTTTCAGAGAGAGAATCAAAAGCTGAAATATGACCACCACCATTACCACCAGAAGAATGACCAGATGGACAATTACTATCAGAACCTGAAGGACAAGAACCACCAGTACCAGGAACACGAGGTTCATCAACATTCTCTTCAACTTCATCCTCCTGTTCTTCAGGGTTTTCCATCAACTCTTCCTTCTGCGCTTTCTTCATATTAACAGCTTCTTCAGCCTTGCCAGGAAATCCAGAAGAAGGAATAGCACGACGAACAAGAGGGGGAACACCACCCGTAGTAGGTTTAATTAGGGCATCAGAAACTTTAGGACTATCAGCCCATACTAACCCAGAAGCACAACAGAGTGCAAGAGTTAATAAACAGAGTAGGCAACACCTCACCATTACAGCCATTATCATTGTTGTGTTTTACCACAATAAACTAATACAAGGAAGAAGAACGAAGAAGAAAAAATGGAAAAAAAAATATACACCAATACAACAAATATTCACAGTGGTATAGAGAGAGAGAAACAACAAATGCACAGTAAACCAACAAAGGGGAATATTCCGCTTGTATGATAATATGTACCCCTTAATAGAAAAGAAAGAAAAAAAGAACACCCCACAATACCCAAATAAGAGAGAGAGCCAAACACACACACACAATACCCCATGGCTCTAGTTTATATATTAAATTACTGTGCACACACACACATCTGTGTGTACTAGCAAGAGATGTATACCGTCAGTGAGCAGAACAGCCCAGTTTTCTGCACACACACAACGGAAAAAAGCAAGTAATGGAAATTATTAGAAAAAGAACACACACACACACACACAAAAGTAAAAGAAATTCGAATTAAAAGAGAAAGCTAATAAACAGATTATTAGTTCATTCATTCACCCATGGGGGGTGTACGCAATTATAATTATGTTAGTTTAACCATTATTATTATTTGTCCTCAGATTAGTCCCACCATTCAGTACACGGTAGCGGAGAACAACACAACCACAATCAGGAGCGGTGCTGCAGTGTGCATCCACAGAGGACTGACACTGCTGTCAGCATTTGTCTTCTTCTGCACAGTGGAAGTGATGCTGCTGATTTGTGGGTCAGTTACGGGAACAGGAGATGGAATCGTGGTTGGTGCTTCTGTGGTAGTGTTCTCGGTCCTCGGTGGAATAGTGGAATTGGTTTCATCTGAGTCTGATGCGGCAGTTACGGGAGGTTGCTGGGTAAGATTAGAGTCGGCAGGTGTACTGCTATCTGTAGTCTCATCAGTGGCTGCTGTCGAAGTTGTGCTGCTCTCTGCAGTAGGTTTTTCATTTTGGCTCTGTGTGCTTGTAACTGTTGGTGTTTTTACGCTGGGCGCAGACAATTCTTGTGCGGCAGTAATGGTGGTGTCAGAATGAGAAGTCCTTCCTGTTGAGGTACTTGCTGCATTTGATGCACTCTCAACATGATTAACTGGATCCGCCTCACCCACTTCCAACTCTTCCCTCTGACTTATAACTTCAGGTCCTGTGGGTGAACGACCTATGGTACTTGCTTCAGGTTTGGCGGCCACTGGTGGTGGTATCGCGTCCGTACAATTAAAATTATCAATAGTGGCATTAACGTTATGCTTGCACAACAATCCCAACGCTTCTTTCTTCTCTTGCTCTGAAGAATGGGGAAAACCATCCCATATCTCAAGACTACCTGCTTCCACTCCAACAGTCAAAGTATACCCGCAGGTGCAGCACAGCACAACGGCCAACACACACATCACACGGGTCATCATCATCATCATGAAAGAGACAAGGGGTTTGTTGCACGTTAAAACACTGATCTAGAAAGAAAGACAATCAAAAAAGCAAAGAAAGAAATAAAATAAATGAAGTATCAAACATGTTAGGACACACACAAATCGATTACCACTATGGAAACTCACATCGTGAAAAGTAAAACCTACCAGTTAAAGAATGCAATACAGCGCAATAACCTCAGTAAGAGTAAAAACAAAAACAAAAAGGCCCATACTCACAAATATCTCAAAAAAGGCTCACCACCCAGCAAAATCATCAAGCAAACAAACAAATATTAAACGTTAGCCCAACTTACCAGGTAAACACGGAAATATACACCAACTATGGGTGTAAGTCTATATATGTGTATATATGAAATTATAAATGTAAATCCTTCTGTTATTATTTTTTTCTTTATTTCTTTCCCACTACAAAAATCAGTTCATCATTATCATCACAGTGCAAGCCCAGGTGCACACACACAGAGAGTCTCCAAGAACACACACACACACAATGGAGTAGCAATAATAATTATTATAGGATAAACACAGAGAGCAAACACACACACAAAACACATTAACATTAAGAAACAAAAAAAGAAGAATAATCCCAACAGGTAAAAGATTAGTTAGACTGTAGGGATTGCATGCAAAAAAAGAAAACAAAGGATGACCTGAGTCACACCACCACAATAATCACAATCAGCACACAAGAATACAGGCCAGTGTAACCACAATCAGTAGTGGTACACGCACCCACACAGAACTGCTGATACTGCTGCTGCTGTCTGCATCACCCTTCTTGTTGTTTGTGAGTTCAGGAGGAAGTGTTGTTGTTGTTGTTGTGGTGGTGGTGGTGGTGCTGTTTTCTGTATTTCTCACATCACTTTCTTGGTTACTTGTTGACTCACTTCCTTCAGGTGCAGTACCATTGACAAGATCAGATGGTGTGTCAGTACCTCCCTGAGTCGTTGAAGCATTACTGTTGTCTGCCTCGTTCTCACCTTGCGCAGCAGTTTCTTTAGTAAAACTCTGTGCATTTTCCGACACCTGGTCCGATCCATCGTGGTGTTGTGTTGCACCAGGGTTAACTGTATTTTGTTCATTTGAAGGTTGCTCCTTGGGACCATCGCCTGCTGCTTGTACCTCGCTTTCTCTCACTTTCTGAACTGGTAGATTCTCCTTCATTCCCTCTTCACTTTCTTCCTGCTGATGAGGTAGATCTTTTGTGGTTCGCAAAGAGGAACTAGCAGGACTAACAGAAACACTAGAACCAGGTAAAGAGGTAGGACTGCGTTCCACTGATGTTTCGGGTGGTGGAAGTGCAACAGTTTCAGGTTTTTTTCCATGCTTTTGAGTATCTTCTGGAGGCACTTTCTGCGATGAATTTGCTTTGCAAAATTCCTCCTTGTTGTTCTCCCCAACACACTGTTTGGATGTTTCTTCCACTTCACCAGGACCACCTTTTCCATCTCCACTATCTCCAAGACCTGCTCGTTCACCACTCCCTCTAAGACCACCACCTTCAGGTTCACTAACTGCAACTTGAGGCTCAGTTGTAGCCAACACGAAACTGCAAGTACAACACAGTGCAAGAAGCATAACACACAACACTGTACGCATCATTATCATTACAATAATTCTTATTGTGTCTTAATTCAGTGGTCCAAAGAAAAATAAAAGAAGAAAGAAGCAAAGAACAAATAGAAATAACATAAAATAACGGCATCCCCCATCTGAATACAAGAGAGTTATAACAAATAGCAACAACGATAAAAGTGCAGTGCATTGAATATTTACTTCCAGAAGAAAACATATAAAACAAAAAGGTCGATAACACAAAAAAATAAAATCCTCAGGCATCTTGCCCATAAGCATGAACATACCATTGGAGTGCCTTCTTCTCAAGCATGATGGCCTCCAATTGGTCTTCCTCTACAGCTGTCTGCCTCTTCAGGTCCGTACATTTCAGCTGCAGTTCTTCTAATTCATCCTTCACAGCAGTCATATCGTGCCTCACACGTTGCAGCTGCAGCATCAGGTTGTGTGCCCCACTTCCCCAGTCAGTCACGGTAACGGTGGGAGTGACATTATCACCAGGAATGAA